ATTGGGAACCTAAATGCCAGGCCTTGCACTAGGCACTAGGAATTAAAAACATAAGACAGACACAGAGTGACAAAACATGAGACACACCTAACTCTGGAAAACGAACAAGGGGTAGTGGAAAGGGAGGTGGGCAGGGGGTTGGGGTGACTGGGTGATGGGCACTGAGGGGGGCGCTTGGCGGGATGAGCAGTGGGTGTTATGCTAAATGTTGGCAATTTGAACTCCAATAAAAAAACAGAGACACAAAGAAGGTTGTTTATGGTCTCACAGGACCATATTTAGGCCACATGTAGAATGGTAACAGATACAGAATATTACGCATGATGTATATTTGACGTTTCATCATTTAACCCAGTAGCTCCTAAGAAGGTTGCATTAGGAAATTACATTCACAGGACTCTAATAATGTCAATATCCTGGTGTGATATTGTACCGTGAACCATGGTAAGGTACTACCATTGGTGGAAACTAGGCATGTGCATAAGGGATAGCTCTGTCACTTCCTACAACTACATGTAAATACATGATTAGCTCAACAAAAAGTACATTTTAAGCCAAGAATATATGGAATACAAAAACAATTTTTCATAGACTGTCATAAAGAACAGTTGGTTTCTGGGATCAGCCCACAGTATTTTTATTTTTTGATGTATAACCAACCCTCTTCGTATTTAAATACAAACCCCAATGGCTCGGGCCCTTATTGTATTTAGCATGAGCCACAGCAACAGCTTCCTGTTTGTTCATCCTATTAATGTCTCCCAATCCATCCTTCACTTTACTACAGATCTAGCTATATCATCTCTTAAAATCTTCCAATGGTTTCTTAGGGATAAAGTCCCAAACCTTCCTATGACACACAAAGCTTCTCAAGATGTGGCTCCTGCTCACCTTTCCAACCTTTAATGCTTGCCTCTGGTCCCAAACACACAATCCGCGCCCATTTCCAAGCCTTGCACAGCTGCTTCCTCTGCCTCGAATGCCCTTTACCGTTATCCACTTAGCAAATGCCTGCTTGTTCTTTACTTTTCGTGACACCTGCCATCTCTTCTCAAAGGCCTTCTATGGTCTTCAGCAGAGCAGATTTCTCCTTACCCTTCATGAGCTTAGAGGTCCTTGTTCACATTTCAGCAGTGCACAAGGGGACTAGTGTCTCACTAGTTTCAAGACCATGGAAGGCACCCGATCAGCCTTATTTCTCTCTCTGTCCTCTAAATCATTCACAGTACCTAGCATTTGGAAAGCATTCACATGTTTGCTGAAAAAATGACGACTTGCAATGAGCTTTTATGATTCTAATAGCCTAAAATAGCAAGAAATTAATCAGAAAAAAAGAGACATTGATTTTACTTTAGAAAAACAGAAAGTTTAATGTATGAAGCAATTACTAAAAATTAGAGTATATATTACATGTAAAATAAAACAAAGAAAATAAATTCAATTCTTTACCAACTCAGTGGTAACAGTTATTCTCAAATATTAGTTGTAACAAACTCCAAAAGGAAAGTAAGAAAAGGAAATAGCAGTCACCTTATTTTCTCACATTCTACCTCCGGTATTACTGTATGCACATTAACAAAGATGCACTAGGTTTAGATGTGCTGATATAAAATCATCCATAAACTGCATTAACTGGAAGCACAAACAGTTAAGGAATAGTGTATACTCATTTGTATTTTAAAAATGAGGGTGGAGAGGATATAAACATATAAACTTGAATACTCAGAAACTTCCTCCAACAGTAGTGGCCAGTTTCTGGAGATTGTATATAAGGCTCTGAGGCAGGAGGGAGATTTCACAATACTCCATTTTAGTCCAGATTTTTACTATGGGTCTGTACTAGGTTTTTATCTTTAAAATCTCATTAAAACAAAAAGAAACACAACCTACCTAAGGACTCTTGAAGCACTTGGCTTTTGGCACTCTCCCTGTTCAGAACCCAGCCATTGTGCTCTAAGACATCCAAGCCCCAACAAGAGGCCAGATGTGTGTGTTCAAGTCAGTGGCCAGCACAGACTATGGCCCTGAGTGAGCTACCTCAATCCAGCTGACTCAAGACTGAAATGATGAGCACTACTTCCACCTGACTGCAATCATAAGAGACGTACTAAGTTAGAGCTGCCCAGAGAAGCCAAGCCAACCAGCAGAGAAAAAAGAATAAATTGTTTTAAGCCAAAGGAAAAAATAGAAAAACTAGTTAAGGATTTCTGCCTTAAAATGCAAGTTGATCACATGCATTTATTTAAACTCTGTCCTGGCAGTTCACTAAATTAACATTAAAAGAAATCAAGGTGAGGGGATGCCTGGCTGGCTTGGTCAGTAGACTCTTGATCTTGGGATTCTGAGTTCAAGTCCCGTGCTGGGTGTGGAGACTAATTTAAATAGAGAGAGAAAGAGAGAGAGAGAGAGAGAGAAATTAATTAATTAAGGTGAAAACCCACAGAGCGAGGAGAACTGAAGACATGTTGAGGAAAACTTAAGAGGAACAGCTGCAAAAGGAGAACAGACTGGATAACTTTTAGCAGACCTGAGAAATCAGGGACCAATAGTACTTTCTAGAGAAAACTGAGCAGAAAAGACTCCGTGGAAGGCAAGTCTAAGGCCTAGATTTCTAGACAAGAGTACTAAGTAAAAATCTACTAGTAATTAGTGCAAGCCCTACCCAAAGCAGTCAACTGTGAGAATATTTTGAGAAACATATGAACATAAAACATTTACCTTCCAAGTGCATTTCACAGGAAACTATTGGAGGATGTCAACCCAGAAACTGGAAGATGCAGGATAGAAGAAATGAGGAGGCCAAATCAGGATACTGAGTCAGGAGGCCTACAAGCAGACAGTCCAAATGCAATAGTACTACAGAGTTTCTAGAACAGAGGTCTCAAGGAAAGAAAAAAAACTGATACATGGATTGGTGTGAACATGGAAAAAAACTACCAATAGACATTGAACAGACCCAGAAGAGAAATTAAGGATTCCTACATGAAAATTTGTAGATGTGGAAAGGAGAAGGTGGAGCAGTTACTAAGTTCAAGAAAAAAACAAAAGTTGTATAAGAATAGAAATGTAATCACAGACACTATTTGGATCCCCGGTAAGTGGTATTTTAGGTATCTGTTTAACAATGTCAACAATGACAATAACAAACAGTATGGAGAAGAGAGAAAGGTTGTAATAGGAAGTCAATAGGTAATGCCTGATAAAAATTAAGAAATGGGCATATTACTTAAAAAAGTGAAAAAAAGTCTGTAAGTGGTGGGGTGCAGGGTTGCTGTTTACATTGTATTTTAAAATTTATTTTCTTAAACATCTATTAATGCTATGAATGATTTATATTTTCATTAATCATAACTTTGTTATCAGCAAGTACAAGAATGATCTTATGAAATAACATAAAGTTGTTGGGTTCAGCAGCAGGAGCCCCTAGACATATTTCTTGCTAATAACTGTTTTTAAAATTCAAAATACCAATAAAGTCTTGCCAGTCTATATATAAAGTGAGAAAGCACTGTATTCTTCTCTCTCATAACAGTAAAGAATTCATCCCAATATCTACCTTACATTTATCAGTGCACTGGTTTGATTAGTGAGATAAACCACTCGAAGTTTCTACCAAGAAAAAAATGTCACATATGTGCTTTGATAAACACAGAATCAGAGTCAAGTGTTTTTCTTTCCCAAATCTTAGCTGGTATCGGTCATCAATAATCTATCATCATGATTCTTCTAAACTAATTCAAATTTAAAACTGAATAACTAAAATGAGTAATTTCTTATGCCCTTGAAAGAACAGGAATACTTTTCAATATCTTTTCCTAAGAATGTACTTTCTTTAGATGTATTAGTAATAATTTTTAAAAATATAGTAAACAGACTCAGAAAACTAGACTATGCAAAAAAAAAAACCTGAATGCAAAAAGAAGAAAACTCTTGAGAAAATGCAGGTTCCTCCTACCCCAAAAATGATTCTCTGAAAATTACTATTATCATTTCAGATTGTGTTTCACTTTCTGACTTTCTAGATTCAGAAACAAAATCAGACCAGGATCTGAGAAAGGCTTTATTAAAACGGGAACACCTTGAAGGAACAACATAACAACTGAATAAAATAACATACTTCTAGAGAACCTGACACACTTCCTCATATATTCTGCGTATGTCTATTTTAATGAGAAATAGAAAACCCATGTTGTATTCAGTTTCCAAAATTGTACTGAGAACTTATTTATTGGAAAACTCTTAAGAACTAAAACAGTAACTATTAAGAGCTAAAGTAGAACTCAAAGTTCATATCCTCCTTTAAAATGAAAATAATGACAGTGCCTGGATGGCTTAGTTGGTTAAGCGTGACTCTTGATTTCAGCTCAGATGGTGATCTTAGGATCTTGAGATCAAGCCAAGAGTTAGGCTCTGTGCTCAGCAGGGAGTCTTCTTGAGAGTCTCTCTCCCTCTCTCTTCCCGCTCCTTCTGCCCCACCCCTTACATGCTCTCTCTTTCCTTCCCTTCTCTCTAGAATGAATCCAGTCTTTAAAAATAAAATCACAAAAATAGCATACTATAAACAAATATGTATATAACATTTATATATATAAATGTATATAAAGTATATAAAATAAAACATGTCCGTAAAACTAAATACCCTGATTAATTCTATATGAACACTATTTCCTGGGAACAAATAAAGCAATATATATGCAAAAATTTATTTGTAAATTATACTTGGTTAACAACCAATTCATATATTAAAAAGCTTCTTTATTACAATTTCCAAAGGAAATTTTGAAATCTGTGGACAATCAAATGAGTCTGTACTTCTTATTAGTCATATTAGGGAGTAACTGCTATTTAAGACCACAATGAGAGAAACAGCTTTATACACAGGACAGGTGAAAAGAGAAGCTGGGTTAAAATGTAACAAAGAAGGTTGTGAATTTAAATCACATGAAGTAAAAATAAACACGTAACATATACTAGCAACATATCAATACTATTTTCCTTACCTGCCAGATAGAGGGCAAATGATATAAATCTATGGTAGCGAATGAGGAATTGGAGTTGCTCTTCTCTTTGAACAAATGTAGCAAAATAATCGGCTACAGTCTCTCCATAGAAAAAGTAGTTTACACACAGTAGAAAGTACCTATAATTCAAAAACAATTAGCCTTTTTTATATTTGAAGCCTTCTTTCCCTGAGAAACTCAAAAGACTATTCTCTACACTTTGATGATCCCGCAAAGATCAAAAACCAAATTAAGTAGGCAGGTTTAGGATATTCCAAAACATGTTTTTCTGCTTTTAAATTTAATTCCAAATGTATCCATCAACAAAAATTGACTGAAAATAGCTCATGCCTCTACTTAGGTCAAAATCTAATGCCAGACACATTGGGAAACAATGTAAAAAATGCTACACATACACAAACACACACATTCTTTCTTTCTCATAGACACACACAGACACACACATTCAGTACTGATTATAATGAATATTCACTCCCAACTACTCACAGCTCTAAAGCCTTTTAATAGGGCAGATCCTATGCCAAACCCCCACCTGCCTTAAGGAAAATCAAAGGGGAAAGCACAAAGAGGTAATTTAACCTCTGACCTCTCTCTTCACTGCCCTGTGCATACTGGTGTCTTTCTTCCTCTCCTCCATGTTACAGATGGATTCCAGTGGCACAGTGATTCTTAAGAAGTAGTAGTGGGTGATGGGAGCAGCAGGTAAAAATCTCTAAGAGAAACCTCTTTACACTATGTAATCACCTATCCCTCCACCCAGCTCTGTCTGGTATATCCTTTCCCTCTAGGAGAAAGGATGGATCAACCGTGACATTTTGCTGATGGCAGCTTGTGTGAGCCAGGGGAAAAGGCTGAGAAACACTGCCTCAGAGTTCTTCTGTCCCTCTTCCTTTGAAGAGCAGAGTTCCAGGTGGTCAGGAGAGCAGAGGAGGAAAGGAACAATTTCCCTTCTAGTTGTCATGGGCTGAATCAGATCCCAATGTTTTCAAAGTATTCTCATTTCTAATAGCTGTAAATACCATTTTCCATTCTCTTACAATGGAAACGGTCTTTGACTCCTCTCTAAGGCTATCAAGGCCTACTCTAGCCCACCAATCCAACTTTTTCCCCATTATTATGCCCAGGAAAAGTCTATCTGTGGCATGTGCCTCCTCCATTCCCCATCTAGAACCTGATGAGTGTGTCCTCCCCAATCCAGAACACTCTTTTCTATCCAAAACTTGTCTTTATTTCAAGTGATAGTTTGTTTCTCACCTTCTCCATAAAGACTTCTACAATAACTGGAGCCCATCCTTAGTTTTTTTTCCTCCTATACTTAGAATCAATCAATGGTTTAGCATTTAATTGTTCCCTAACTGCTTAATCTACCTAACATTTCCCATACATTTTGCCCTTCATGAGAAAAACCTGCTATAAGGGAAAATTAGCTATTACCAAAACCAAGAAACTATTTTTTGACCCCTTTAAACCTCAAAGGTGATACATTTGTTTTCTTAAGACACTGGACCCTCTGGCTGATAATAATCTTAAAACTATATTCAAAGGCATGGCTAGTTAATAATGAATAATCATATTATCATGTTTCCTGATAAAAGTCTTAATAACTAAAAATCCTAGCTGAAAAGTTGTAAAGAAAAAAAAAAAGTTGTAAAGATATATAAGACTTTAAATATTAAAATCACATGACTTTTTAAACTAATTTTTACATGTATTTGTACATATATAATATTTCATGGGCTGGTAATTGCCAGTGCTACTTATAAGGTTGCCTTATACTGCCCCCTCCAAGAGTCTTACTCTTCCCTCCAACTACCCTCCAGGTATCATGTCATGGGGTCCCAGGCCTGAAGACAAGATCAAACCAGGAACAACAAAGTTAGGAGTCATCATTTCTCTCTCTTTCTCCACATACATACCCCATCCCTGCCCTGTCCCCAAAGCCTACAGGGAGGTGGGCCAGTGAGGGTAGGAAGGAGACAGGTATTTATCCTAGGCTTTCCTTCCCTTGAATAAGCCACTCAAGAAACAAAACAGAAAACCCACAACTATTTTCGTATCTCATCTATCACTCTTTGTAGAGATAATCTAATTTTGTGTGTGGTCTCATGTCAACTGAGGCAAAATAAAGCAAAACATGCATATTTATAACATTTTACAAAATGAAATTTTATTAAAATTATCATTAGAAAGGATATAAAAATGTGTCCAATATAATGTTTTTTAAAGAGGAAGATATATACAGATATAAAGTATCTCTACAAAGACTGAAAGAAATGAAAATAGTTGTGTTGGGATGGGAGACTTACAGGTGATTTTCTTCTTTTCAAAATCCAGTTGCATTCTTTTTATTTATCTTCCTCCAGAAATCAATCTATACCATCAACTGTGTGATACTGCCCAATCAGGACGCTTCCTTTACAAACTTTAGAAAAGAGTCAAATGTTCATATCTGAAACAGCTTTAAATTACTTACCAGCTTAATGTTCTAAACCATGGCAGGTCATAAGAGCGATAGACTCTATAACCTATAGTGATAATTTCATGGAAGCATTTCACTTGGATGCCTAGAACCTGAAACCAAGAGAATACATTAACATACATCTCCTAGTGTTTATATTTGTGCTTCATCCTTTAACACACAGTTTGTTGTCATATGTATTTTAAAAATCTTTAGCCTGCCCATTTTTAATTATTCTAAATGTCAGCAGCAGAAGTTTAATAGTTGGTGTTTCTAAAATCAAGTGATATTTCAGAGGGGTAAGCAAATCAACAGGGATAGAGTCTGGTTGGTCTCAATTGACTAGGCTTTATCCCTCATTACTATTTCATTTCATTAGTCCATCTTAAGATGGACAATCTTTTGGTCCATTTTGTTTCTTGAGTTACCCTACGAAAATGATCATATGTGCAAGTTTGCTTATATGTATTTCTTTACATCCTGGTATGCTTTCTAAAGATAAAGATACTGTCAGAACAAATGGTTAAAACATCTATACCCTGTCACCCAGCAGGGTTTGGGCACAGTCTTTTTATTCTTCCAGCTGTGCCAACTCTCATATAGCCAGCTGCATACATCTCTCGTCAATCCAAGTGGTGCTACACTGGCAAATTATAAACAGCCTTCTACATTTGCAGCCACGTCAGCCAGTCAACTGGTTCTATGTGTTTTTGTTTGCACAGTGTCCTATGTACATTCATAATAAATGGATTAATATTTACAAATCCTTTTTTGATGGTCTACTTAATAGTCCTTCAAACTGCTGTATCCATCAACTTGGGTATAGGTAATACTTGCCTTAAATCAACTCCAAGACTTGAAGAGCAAATTGGCAAGTTGAACACTTATTACCATGAACCAAGAGACTGAAATCTTTGTGAACGTAGCAGACTAACTTTTTCCGTCTCTAGAGAGTATACCCAAGGGCTTGGTTTTGTACAGCCCTGCACCTAAGAACAATTATATCTATACACATACACACACATATGTATATATTATACGTATAAATATATTTTTAGATTTTTACTTATTTATTTGAAAGAGAAAGAGCAAGAGCAGGGACAGAGTGAGAGGGAGAGAGAGAAGCAGACTCCCCATTGAGTCCCCAGGATCCTGGGATCATGATCTTAACCAAAGACTGATGCTTAACCAACTGAGCCACCCTGGTACCTCAGATTTTGTTTTTAAAAAGTTAAAAACAAAACCCAAACATGATGTGACTGAGAAATATGTGGTTCCTTAAAACCTAAAATATTTTCACCTGCTTCTTTAAAAAGCTTACCAAACTCTGCCCAAGAATACTTTGGTGTTTCTTTTAAGCTTTCCACAAATTAGCTTTCCTAAAGCTAGTGTTCAGGATGTTCTTAAGTTGTATTTCCCATTTTACCTATTACACGTCCAGTCACATATTTAAAGTAATTGTGCCCCCTCAGCCACACGATAAGAAAATACAAGGCCAAACTACTATAAGTATTTTTTTTAAGAAAAAGTCATTACTGTTTTATAACAAAAAGACAAGAAGAAATTCAAATAGCATCCTTCAAGTAAGCTTTGAATATAATGTCAAAAGTCATTTTTTAAAATAATCACAGAATGGAGACAATGATAGACATTAAAATACAATGGCAAAGCCATGCTATTTGTAGAACCAAAGGCTTTTAAAATATCAGATGTACTGATGCAATTTCTATTTGCTAAATGAACACATTTGCTCAAGAACAGCCATTATTAGCACTACACATGGTATTATACCGAGGGGGGGAAAACTACTTTTAATAGCACATACATATATATTTATATGACTGTCAATCACAGTTTGCAAGTAGAATCAATATAGAGCTACTGGGAAAAAAGCAAATGGAGGATTCAAAACAACATAGCTAAAATCCTTAAAATATATGTGCATCTTCCAGGCTGGGTGATCACATGGAAACTAAATTTCCAGGCCATCAACACCGGTAGCAACATACATTGGTAGGGCTCTGCTGGCCCCATAATCAATACCGGTAGCAACATACCAATGTAGGGCTCTGCTGGCCCCATAAATGTATTAAGAGCCTTAAAAACCACCATCAATATGTAAATGCTGACTCTGCTAGTTATGGAGGATTTGGAGAAATAATATAGGACATCTTTCCTCAGAGAGGTATAGCCTGTCAGGGAAGACACAAGTGGCTACAACACCACGTCGAAATAGCCACATGGATGTAAGCATAAGCAAACAAAACACCTGTGGCTGGCAAGGGGGACAGGCTGCAGTTGGGACAGAGAAGGATATATAGAATCACATACACTGGAGAGGATGGGGCATGTTAGGGAACTACAGGTAGTTCAGAGTTGCTGAGACGCAAAGATGGGGTTGAGAAGCAGAGACAAGCCTGGTCACAGAATCACAGCAAGCAGCACCAAGCAGTATACAAAGGAGTTCAGGCTGATCACTAAAGGACATGATCAGATGTATGGGTTGGGGATAAGAGAGGTAGAAAGAATGGACTAGAGCAGCAGCAAAAGTAGAAAGAGTAAGGCAGGCAAGATACCACCATTCACCCAAGTGCAGATGACTCTTTAACTGGGCCAGTGGCAGAGGGGGATAGTATACGGAATAAGAAACTGAGGAAGTAGAACCGGCTGGATTTTCTGGTGGAGGAAACTGCTGGGCACGGGAAGGGTGGCTAAGAGAGACTGGGGAACACAGAATAACATCTGGAAAGATTTATGCAGAATGGCTGGGGATGAAACAGAAGTTCAGATTTGGATATGTTGAGTTCAAACTATGGTTATCCGTGGGTTATCCAAATAAAAGTGCCCATTTTCACTTCGGGAATCTATTCAAAGAAAATAATCCTGGGCAGCCTAGGTGGCTCAGCGGTTTAGCGCCGCCTTCAGCTCAGGGCATGATCCTAGAGACCTGGGATCGAGTCCCATGTCAGGCTCCCTGCACGGAGCCTGCTTCTCCCTCTGCCTGTGTCTCTGCCTGCCTCTCTCTCTCTCTCTCTCATGAATAAATAAATGAAATCTTAAAAAGTAAAAGAAAATAATCCTGCATGTGAAAAAGAATGTTCAGGATAGTGTTATTCAACATAAAGAAAAACCAAAACATAACTTGAATGTCTGAAAATAGCACAGTGGTTCATAACTTATGATGCATTCCATTCCACTGAGGTCAATGAATGTGTTAAAGTTGATAGGGGCTGTCTGGGTGGCTCAGTTGGTTGAGGGTCTGACCCTTGGTTTCGGTTATGATTTCATGGGATTGAAGCCCCCACAGGGCTCTGAGCTAAGTGAGGAGTGTGCTTCAGATTCTCTCTCCCTCCCCCTGTGATTGTTCCCCAGTTCATTGGGACACATGTGCACTTTCTTTCTCACAAATAAATAAAATGTTAAAAAAAATTTTTTTTAAGGAAGTTGATGGCTGTAAAGATGGTGGAACAACACAAAACAGTCAATATGATATTTAGTTTGAAAAGCAGGATACAAAAGTCTAGTCATGGGCGGCCCTGGTGGCGCAGTGGTTTAGCGCCGCCTGCATCCCAGGGTGTGATCCCGGAGACCTGGGATCAAGTCCCACGTCAGGCTCCTTGCATGGAGCCTGCTTCTCCACCTGCCTGTGTCTCTGCCTCTCTCTCTCTCTGTGTGTCTCTCATGAATAGATAAATAAAATTAAAAAAAAAAAGTCTAGTCATATTATGACTATAGCCATGATTTTTAATACATGAAAGAGATAAAAGAAAAACAGAAGTATTAATTGGGTTTTGGTAGTTGATGATAGGGTTAGGAGTGATTTTCAAAAATTATCAATTTCCCAAAGTAATTTTAACACACTTGTATAACTCTCACAATATGAAAAAATAAACTAAATATATAATTTAGTTGTAAGTAGTATATCATAAATTATATAATGTAAATTAAAACTTATAGGCATTTCCAAGGAGACGAGGGGGGGAGCCTGTTATATTATCTGCCTCTATATCAAAATATGCTTTAGTATCTCCATCACTTAGAACGTATGACTGCAAGCTATGAATGCTACAATACTATAAGTAGAAGGCTGAAGGCAAAAAGGCTCTTTTTATTTTAAGGAACATCTTATTATTCATTATTCATGTATTGAGTTCCATCTTAAAGTAGTAACTATCATTTCCTAGAAATAAGTTTTCAATAAAATTCCCTTGAATTAGTCATTTATGAATGTTGATATTGTAGGGCAAATGCAAGCTAGATACAATGCATACTTCTCAAAATATAAATGACCTCGTGAGTGATATGAATATAATTAAGACTTTATAACACATAAAAGTAGGATCAATTGAATACCAACATTGTGTCTATGTGTTTATTCATCCATATTTCCTTAATGTGAATACCATAAATAAAACATAAGTATGGATGCATGTGCACATGTGTGCCTGTGTGCGCATGCACTGCAAAAACCTAAGTAAAAGCAATAAGAGTTCAAATCTACTAGAATTTTAATATTCTAGATTAGATTTTAATATTCTTTGCTGATTAAGCTCACCAATGAAAGGAAGAACTTGTAATAAAATGGTATTTTCCTCTCATAAAGGAAAGAGAGACAAGAGAGCCTAAGCACTATAGGTATGCTTATGATTCTTTTTTTAAAAATCAGAGTCCAAATATGTGAGGATGTCTCTAAAAGTGTTTTGAGGCAGGTGGGGGCAACGGGGTGACTGGGTGATGGGCACTGAGGAGGGCACTTGAAGGGATGAGCACTTGGTACTATACTATATGTTGGCAAATCAAACTTCAATTTAAAAAAAAAAGTGTTTTCCAGCAATCGCACTGCTGGGGATTTACCCCAAAGATACAGATGCAGTGAAACGCCGGGACACCTGCACCCCAGTGTCTATAGCAGCAATGTCCACAATAGCCAAACTGTGGAAGGAGCCTCAGTGTCCATCGAAAGATGAATGGATAAAGAAGATGTGGTTTATGTATACAATGGAATATTAGCCATTAGAAACGACAAATACCCACCATTTGCTTCAACATGGAGGGACCTGGAGGGTACTGTGCTGAGTGAAATAAGTCAATCGGAAAAGGACAAACATTATATGGTCTCATTCATTTGGAGAATATAAAAATTAGTGAAAGGGAATAAAGGGAAAGGAGAGAAAATGAGTGAAAACATCAGTGAGGGTGACAAAACATGAGAGACACCTAACTCTGGGAAATAAACTAGAGGTAGTGGAAGGGGAAGTGGGCGGGGGGTTGGGGTGACTGGGTGATGGGCACTGAGGGGGGCACTTAGCGGGATGAGCACTGGGTGTTATATGTTGGCAAATTGAACTCCAATAAAATTTGTTAGAAAGTGTTTTGAATTTTCTCATTAATGAGTGGTTAAAAATTAGCCTTTATCTACAAATTCTGGCCTGAGTTACCATACCAAACAGTTTAGTTTGGAGAAAAATGTTAACTTACTCACAGGGAGCCCACCAAACCAGCCTGAATCCAAGTATCAAGAATGTTCATTTCGTCAATGTCTTAGATCAAAAGTACCTTCTAAAGGGGAATAATAATTTAAGTGATCCCCAATATTTTCAATGGCTCCCCAATGCTTTACAAATAAATTCCAACTTCTTCCCATAGTATTGCAAGGGCCTTCAGAATCTGATCTCCAATTACTTTTGCAAGTTCAAAGGTCCTGTGCTCCAGGAAGAGTATTGCTCACCTTGTTCTAACGCATCCAGCCATTTAGGCATTTGCTCAGTGCTCATTCCACCCTGATATACCCTCAGGTCCACTGAAAGGTCCCCTCCTCCACCAAGCCTTACTGAGCTGTCAGCTATAACCCAATCCCTTCATCCCCTGCCCTGACACTCAGCACACAGCACTAAAAGGTGGTCTGCACACACTCACTACTGAAAGGCCCAAGTGGTGGTTGCTGGCACTCACTGCCTTCTATGGGTTCACCCTGAGAAGATCAGGAGTGGCTGGATTAGATATTTTTTTACTGTGTTCAACCAACAATGTGTATCACAGTACTCACCCACTTATGTACTATACTATTTATTCACATGGTTACTTATATATGTCTCTGCCATTAGATTGAGTTCTTTGAAATTAGGGATCTAGCTAATAGTCCTATATGATAAAGTCATGTGTGTGTAAGCAATATCTAATGCTTGGCAAGACGTATTTATTATGCATACTTGGTCTCTGCTGAGTGAACACACTGAATGGCCATTTTGCAAACAGAAAAAAAATTGGTGCAGGTCATTTCATGAACTAGAAGATGCCTAAGGGAACTAAATTTGCTGTTAGCAAATCTTGAACTGCCTTCTTTTTCATGAAATGCTCAAATTACTTCAATCAGATCAGTGCTGAAAAACAAAGCAAGAAATACTTAGGTAAATGTAAAACACTTACAAGAAGCATCAGCATAAAGGATCCCATGTAGATGATCAGGAAAAACAACGAAATCATAGTTAGAGTAAGAATTCCACGAATCCACCAGTTTTTCCACCTACAGAGAAAATGTTTATTCAGTTAGCATTTAATGTATTCTTTCCTAAAGTCTTTTGTGTGGTCTCAGTATGGATTTTCCTAAACTCCTCTTAAGAATCCCTTACTTCACCTTATACAATAATAATGAAAAGTCAAACAAACAGCATTGATTAACTTAGAGCTAAACTAAGTGTAAAAATTATGTTAGCCAAAGAAAGAAATGAATTTTTGTTCAGCATGATTGAAGATGAATCACCAGGCTAGGCAGTGAGATGGTCAATGTGTACATGTGCACACCCCACCAGGGTTATTCAGAAGGGAAGAAAAGCCCTCTGAAAAGATGCTCTATCCTTTTGGGTGGCAGATAAAAACAAAAATGATTTTATTAGGATGGTTTAGAGAACACAGCTTTCCAATGAGAAAAAGTAAAGAAAGGTTAACACAGAAGTGAAACTGCAGAGCAAAGCGGTTTAACTGAAATTTCAGAGGACACAAGGTCGTCAGTCACTAAGGACAAGGCCAGACTGATGGTCACTTCCTTCTAGTGCTCAAAGCAAGCTGCTGGTTTTCCTCACTTAGGGACAGGAGCGTGAAGTACAAAAGCATTTCCACATCCGTGGGCCTTCTCATGTTCCTTAGGGCAGAGCTTCTCTGCCGTATGCCTGGCTAGCCTGAGAACTAATCTCCCTGGATCCTCTGGGTGTCAGTAAGGGCACGGGGTGCCCAGTGGCCCTCCCTCCATACCCAGGAGACTCACACTCATCCCCAGCGTATTTTACAAGTACTGTCGCTCTTTCTGTGGCCATGTCATGAAAAATGTCAGCAGCCACTATTCTAATAGGATTAGAATAATACCTATATATGGATGGTATTTCTGAATTTAAAATTCCTTCCCCCCTGTTTTATTCATTCTACAGTCCTTTTACACTGAACTCACAGTAAAGTTTTTCTTTAAGACTTTTCTGGGTTTTATTAATTCTAATGATAGCATTGAAATTATGTTACAAGAGATTTGGATTCACCTTATAGTAACATACATACACATATGTGTGTATACACACACACATACACACAGTGTTCAAAGCACAGGCCTTCATTGTCCTGTCTATAGAAAGAAATATTAGCTGACTTCATCCATTTGTCAAATATTGATTGCATTCCCTGCTTTCAATCACTCTCCTATACAGTCTAGATATTTCTTAAATATGCCTTTTAGGATGTCATTTCTGCACTCAAGTTCTAAAATGCCAACAACACTGAATTGAAACTCTTTTATCTAGCTTCCCAGTTTTTTTATGAAGTGGTCAAATTGTACTTACCCAACTCTATTTCCCTCTACTGTGTAACAAACTATGTAGACTCACCAATTTCTCATGAGACTGTAACTTTTAGGGCTGAACTGAAGTGAGTAGAGAGTCAAAAAATGCTACAGCTGAAAAGTTTCATTTGCTTTTACAGACATAACTCTTTGTGGATTAATGAATAGACTGGGAACTGGGCTACGTCAGAGGGCTAGTCAGAAGTAAATAAAGGACCAGAAGCCAGTCTCCTGATAATCCTGTTCTGTCTGTATGAAACCCAGAAGTGTATTTAGCTCTCCTTTATAACTGACCCCTCAGACTTGGGATCATTGAGAACCTTCAGAAGAGAATACTATGTAGGTGTCAGAAATCAGTCCTCAGGTTAGGATGTTGCCAACGTCCATCTGTACCTCTGTTAGATGCCTGGCTTTGAACTTCAAAGGATGGTAGCTACTGAGAACCAGAGATCTTAAACAGAAAACCTACTTTTTTCATATTATCCAAAAATTCCATGGTAACCTAAAACCTGTGCTCTCAAGAAACATATCCTGATTATTTTTTTTTCCTGATTATCTTTTATAATATAAAAGATATTCCTCCCAGAAAAACTATCCTCCTTAAGCAAGGCCAAAGACTTAATTCCCTTAATTATTTTAACAGATTCCCCAAATCTCCTAAGAATACCTAATACAAAGTTAAGCCAGTAAAAGAACATACTTAAAACATATATACCCATTGATGCAGTAACTGAAAGTCATCTTTTAAGACAGAACCTCTGATTTCAAAACAGCATGATATGAGAGAGAAAAATTCATTGCTACAAAAACCAGACAATAGCCCGATTCTAAATTTAAGATACGTTATTTCTTTTACCATGCTACCATAATCACATTAGAAAAGTCTTAGTTTCGAGTTCAAGCCGTCATCTCATGATTGCTTTGGAAAAAGGAACTCAGAATCAGTAAAGAAGAACTGCATTCAAGTCTCATGGCTCCAAGACTTACATGAGCTAAAAATGAGATTTCTAAAAAGTATATAATTAAGCAGCATCCTTAAAAGTAATTATGTAAAGTGGTTATATGCTTATTGCTCAAATCATTCATGAAATGTACAACGTTTTACTGTACTACAAATATTAAGTGGTTTTTACTTCAAAAGTAATGGTAAGGTTTAAAAACTTATTTTCCTAGTGGCACAAATATCACGAGTCATCAAGAATCTGGGTTGGCAGGCAGCCCAGGGTGGGGGGGTGGGGGGGGGGGTGGTGCCCTCAGTCGTTTAGCGCCACCTTCAGCCCAGGGCCTGATCCTGGAGACCTGGGATCGAGTCCCATGTCGGGCTTCCTGCATGGAGCCTGCTTCTCCCTCTGCCTGTGCCTGTGTCTCTGCCTCTCTCTCTCTCGCTCTCTCTCTCTCGCTCTCTCTCTCTCTCATGAATAAATAAATCTTAAAAAAAAAAAAACATGAAAATTTAGAAACCAGCTAAATGCCCAGCGATAACCATTTACTTAATGAACCATAGCCATCCAAAGGAACATATCATATAGTCATTAAAAATATTTAAGTATATTTAATGATGTTGTTCCTAAAACAGCAGAATGAAAATGTAAATAGAAAGGTAGGAAACAGTATAAAGCTATTTTTATATTACACAACTCCCCCTCCCCCCCCCACACACATATACACACAACGCACAAGAAAAAAAGCTTTAAAAATAGTAAAAATCACAATATTTTAAATATCAATGTTTGGAGAGAAGACTACAGGAGTTTTTTTCCCCCTGCAATTCATGTATTTTTTAAACGTAAATAGTATTTTTAATCCCATGCATCTACAGCTTCTAAAACTTTACAAAACAGACATTTTGGGTGTTAGCTTAACAAGAGCCTAAAATGAGTAAGGTTTTGAAACATTCATTGCAAAGTTTGAGAAGATTGAAACTGATTATATATTATGCATTATTCATTTTTTAAAACCAATTCTTTTATAAACAGCACAATACCTAGGGTCACAATGTGGTTCTATCACTTACTAACTGCATGACCCTCGGTATATAACATTTCTGTGCCTCAATTTCTTCATTCATAAAACAGGTTTATATAACTGAACCTGTGTTACAGGGTTGCTATGAGAATAGTCAATATGTGTAAAGTGCCTGGAGTAGTGCACATAGTATATATTCAATAAATATCAGTTGCTATTATTTGCTATTGTTACTTTATACCAGAAAAAAAAAAGAAAAACATCTCATCATTAAGGAAAATCTACTATAAATGACACAAAGGAATCCAGCCTCATTCTTATATAATATCAATATAAGAAAAATTTCAGTTCTGAGATAGACCTGATAATACTTTAAAGCAAACATCTGTGAATGATGTCAGAAAAACTGAGATCAATAACGACTGAAATACTAATCATGTTTTCAGTCACGAACAGCAAAAAGTTGTTCTATTGGTTAAAAAATATGAAAACTCCTGTTTGAACCAATTTATTCTAATATGATATTCTGCTAGGAATCAAAAACAAAAAAACTCATATAACATGTATTAGATATGGCTAACCAATGGCTTGTGTTTTGACCTATGGATAGTAAATCAATTTAGTAAGTCACATCCAGCATTTTTTGTTCAGTAATACAGGACAATATTAAACAAAAGAAATCAGAGGGCATCACACAGTAATAAATAGCAAGAACTGCTTCATAATATTTTTGCAACACCTAAAATACACATTTGTATGTCTCTTGGGATGTGGTGTAAAATGTATCTCTTACTGTGTGTCACAGTCAAAAAAGTTGGAAGAACACTCTTCTATATCAACATTTAAGATTTCATACATTAATCTGGATAAAAGCTTATATTTATTTTGCTTTTACAAATTTTGCAATTCATATTACTAAAGCATACAATGGAGGGCAATATAAGAGTAGCTCAAATTTGCTGATGACCAAACATTCAAAACTATAGTAAACATAAAATGGTAAAGGGTTTGCAGAGTTTGGGCTGATAATTTTAAACTCAGTTAAAAAAAAAAAAAAAAGAATGACCTATTTTCACCTGGCATTTGAAAAAATGGGGAGCAGAGAAAACAGAATTTTCTTAGATGTTCCAATACCAGAAAAGGTAACTTGATGTGATAAATGGATCATTCACTTGAGAAATCTGACAAATTAGGGCAAGAGTCCCAGGTCTGGATCTTCCTAGCTCTGTAACCTTCCCCAGTTAACCTCTCAGATTTGGTTTTCTCATACTTCACAAGACTGTAAGGCTTAAATGAAAGAATGTACATCAAGCATTTAGTACCATGCCTCACATATGGCGAAAAGGTAAAAGCCTTCTCTTTCACAGCTCCAAAACTTAGAAAAGGGGAGATTTATTACATCGCAGCATTAACCTCACAACTTCTCTTGAGCACCCATTACAGTCATCTTCATTCAATCATACCTTGAAGATAAACCAGACAGAGCTTTCTTGAGGATCTCAGGGGTTCTATCTGAAGATGGTGGAATTTCTGGAATATCAGAATCTGTTCTGGAATCCAAATCTCCATATCTGTCATCAATATCTGTTTCCTAAAGTTAAAGAAAAAGGAAAATCACTTTGCAAAATTGAAAAAGAATAAAAAAGCACAATTGCCAAAGCATTTATTTATTGTTCAGTGTATTAAATCTTAGTTATATAACTTGAAACAAAGAAACAACTATTAATTTATCTTGAACAACCAAGCACTGTTGTACTTCCCTGTTAGGAGAGTTTGATGATCTTTGCTAAAATCCATCAATATAAAGGATTAATTTAAACAAAAGACACAACTAGAAACTTCCTATATTATCTAAATCAGAAATTTACCAACAAGAATCAAGTGTTTGTTGTTTTGCTATTTAACTGGGAGAGCATGGTGTTATTTCCATATAAATTCTGATCAACTGTGCATAGTCCCTTTTTTGATTACAATCAAAGCACCACCAACAAAAGCAGGATCTTACACGAGCAGAACAATACATTTGTGTGTGTGTGTGTGTATACCTGTTTTTTCATCCATAAAACAAAAACATTTAATATAATACTGAGGACTTAGTAAAGTCAAAGAAATAACAAGCTAATATTATGATTGAACCAAGTCTTCCATTAAGTAGATTACCAAATAAAATTTTAGCCTTGGGGGAGCATTTTCATTTTTCATATAGCAGTAATAAGCTTTTGTTTACTAACTATAACTTTCATATTAAGCAATTATTAAATGTCATTATTCCAAAAATGATAAATGAAATACACATGCTGAATTCTCACTGTAACAGAGTCAGTTGTCTCCAAAATAGCTTATACAGAGAGAAATGCTGACTAATAAACCACGAGCCAGAACACCCCCTGAAAATCTCAAGGCATCTGCTCTCAGCCCAACATGCCATAAGGTCTTTGACATCTAGAAAGATGGATCACTTTTTCCCCTTTTCCCTGCTACTCTTTTTTAACCTTCAATAATCCAGTGTTGTAGGTGTGGTATGAGTAGTAGTAGAGATAGTGACTAATGGATGTGACTCCTGAAGGCAACATCAGTACTAATTCTACTAATTCTACTTCTACTCTATTACTGTGATGAAAGGCAAAGTGTTCAGCCCTTCAGTTAAGAAACTCAGCCCTTGGTTTCCCCATAAAATAAAAACATTGGACTAGAATTCAAATTGTGCCCTCCAAACACTAAAGCTCTCAGTAAGCCACTTCAAAGTCCACTTGGCAATAATGGTGATATGACACAATCCCCCAACCCCGCCATGCACACATTCTCAAAACAGCTGCCCTGCTTTTATTTTTATTATTTACGCTTCTAAGTTCTATTTTATACACCTTAGAGAAACACAAAATGAAACACTTAAGATTTAACTAGGCTTCTTCAATTCCATTCCAATAACTAAATAATGAAAGATAATTCCAAAATAATGACATTTCATTGAGCAATGTTACTCAAATACTTCAGTGAATGCCAGACTCTATGTTTTCATATTTCTTTTATGGAACCTGTTACAAAGATACCAAAACTGGCGCACACACACACACACACACACACACACACACAAATGAGTGTAACTGGAGATCATGGGAAAGAAGTAGTACTTCAGTGATCAACTAGAGTCATGAAGCACTGTGCCTGCTGAATGAAGGTACTTAAATTGTTTGAGAAAACCAAATTAGGGGCTTCTTCTCAAGCCTGTAATTTAAAGGTGATGATCCTCCACTTTTCATCATAAGCCACAACTTACCAGGGTATCCAATGGTATCTAGCCTCTTCGTCTCTGTGAACTCATGATTCTCCAAAGACCTGCATCTCTAGCTTCCAACAAGCCATTTCTGAGTGGGTGGGTTTTCCATGAACATCATCTCAAATTCAACATAAGCAAACTGACTTATCTTTTCCACACTAAACCTACTGCCCTTTCTGTATGTCCTACTCAGGTAAAGACACCACCACCAAAACAGTTCAACAATTAACTCAGGTTTGAAACTTGGCTATCAACACCTGCATTTCCCTTGACCAAAACTCATTCAGTTAGTACTGAACCTGTCATTCATCTTTCTCCGTCTTGATCCTTACACACTGCTCTATCCTTGCTGAGCATCCTCTCTTGCATAGCTCATCCCCCTGCCCTCTGTCCTGCCTTCTCTAAGTCATTTTTTAAAAGATTTATTTATTTGAGAGAGAGAGTGTGTGTGTGCGTGCATGCAAGAGCAGGAGGAGGGGCAGCAGAGGGAGAATTTCAAGCAGACTCCACACTGAGCATGGAGCTCGATCTCACAACCCTGAGATCATGACCTGAGCTGAAATCAAGAATTGGACGCTCAACCAACTGAACCACCCAGGCAACCCTCTAATTCATGTTCAACATAAAAAGAATCTTTCTAAATTGCAAATCTGATCTTACTACTCCACAGCCTAAAATCATCAGGATAAAGTTAAACTACTTAGCATTGCTTTTACTGTTTTTCATGACAGGACCCTGCTCTCCCAGCCACTCTTTGATGACTGCCCAGTTTCACACAGTGCCATACTCTCTTGAATCCAGATGTTTGTTCTATGTATAAAGTACAAACTGTACACTTTTTCTCTCTGGATCCCAGTTCCAATCTTCCCTTCTCCATTTCTCAAACCTAGCTATTGCCCATTCATCTTCTGACCTCAGCTTTCAGGTCATTTCCTTTTGAAATGTCTTCCCTGACCCTCTAGCTCCAGGTTAGCTGCTCTTCAACTATGTTCCCACAATCCCCTTAATTTTTACCTATTAGTTTACATTAAAATTATTTGTTTGCTTACTTCATTTTCCAGTAGTCCAAAGGCTTTGTGAGAAGTGGAAATACTGGCCTCATTTTTGAATCTCAAGATGCCAGGAGAGGAACTTGCCCAGTGGCTGACATTTATTTATTAGACACTACATAAATATGTTGAATAAACTGAGTCTGTCAACTCATGCTAATATTTAAGATTAAAAATAAGAAGTTCTCATCTGTTCTTGCTGAGTAGTCTTGGCCAAGTTACCTTGCATGAGACCTCAGATGCACTTATTTACATGAATCGAAGGCTGCTGACTATGAAGGACTACTATTTTCCAAATATTAAATTTTAATGAAAATATGTCTGGGAAATGATGGCTCAAAGTTAAAAAAATAAGTTTATTTTCCTGTAAATTTAATTTCTACAGAAATATATTTAGAAAATAAGAGCAAAAGCACTTTAAAAATATTGCTTTATTTACTGCTCACATTACCATAGAGGTAGGCAAATAATCATTTCCATTTTCTAGGTGAAAAAATTTAGGTTCCAAAAGGCTAAGTGCCCAAGTTTTACACAGCTTTCAGCAATATAGCTGGGATTTGAAACCATGCAGGAGGGAAATTTAAAGGACAGTTCTCCTACAAATTGATCTATAGATCCAATGTAATCCCAATAAATATCTCAAAAGGTTTTTTTTTTTTTTTTTTTTTTTGGTCGACATGTATGGGCTGATTCTAAAATTTACATGAAAAGACAAAGGACCTAGAAGAGCCTAAGCATCCATGGAAAAAGAACAAAGCTGAAGGACTAACACTACCTGTTTAAGTGTTATTATAAAGCTGTAATCATGGGACATCTGGGTGGCTCAACAGTTAAGCATCTGCCTTTGGCTCAGGGCACGATCCCGGAATCCCAGAATCGAGTCCCACATGGGGCTCCCTGCATGAAGCCTGCTTCTCCCTCTGCCTATGTATGTCTCTGCTTTTCTCTCCCTGTGCCTCTCATGAATAAATAAATAAAATCTTTAAAAAAAAAAATAAAGCTGTAATCAAGCTGTGGTATAGGTATGAAAGAAAAAATGATCAATGGAACAGAATAAGGAGCCCAAAAAATAAACCCACACATACACAGCCAACTAATTTTCAAGAAAGTTGAAAGGTAATTCAATATATGATGCTGGAACATTTGGATGTCCACATGTAAAGAAAGGGAAGTGAAAGAACTTTGGTTCACATCTCACGCCATTTACAAAAAATTAATTCAAAAGACACTCTTAAGAGAATGAGAAAACAAGCCATAGGCTAGAAATCAAGTAAATCAGATACCAAGTAAAGGTCCTGAATCCAGAATACATAAAGAGTTCAAAATATAATTTAAAAAATCATCTCAAAATACATGGGCAAAATATTTGAATAGATATTTCACCAAAGGCAATACATGATGGCAACTAAATGAATGAAAAAATGTTCAGCATCATTAGTTATTAGGGAAATCCAAACCAATATCATATAAATACTACTACACATTGAGAAACATGGCTAAAATTTAAAAAAAAAAACAACAAATAAAAACATACCAAATGTTAGAGAAGATGTGGAGAAATTGAAACTCTCACACACCACTGGCAAGAATGTAAAATGGTAAAAACACTTTGGAAAATAGTTTGGCAGTTTCTTAAAAAGTTAAATATACATCCACTATATGACCCCGTCATTCCATTCCTAGGTATCTGACCAAGAGAAATGAAAGTATATATCCACACAAAGACTGTACACAAATGTTCATGGTAGCTTTTTTTTTTTTTTTCCCATGGCAGCTTTATTTGAAATATCTCCAAACTGGAAATAAATGTCCACCAGGGAAAAGGACAGGTTGGGCTACATCATGCAAAGGAATACTACTCAGTAATAATATGGATGAATGTCACAATAAGTACACTGAATAAAGAGGACCTATAAAAATGTACATATGGGGTACCTGGCTGGCTCAGGTAGACCTGAGATGTGAGATGTGAACCTGGCTGGTTGGTAGACCATGCAACTCTTGATATCAGGATCATAAGTTCAAGCCCCACATTGAGCATGAGCCTTGTTTTTTTTTTTTTTTAAAGTACATATGTATGTTTGTATGCATACTTGTATGTATAGTATTCGCTTTATATAAAAATTCTAGAAAACACAAACTCATCTGTAGTTCCAGAAAGCAGATCAGTGGTTAACTGGATTCGAGGGGGGAATTACAAAAGAGCAGGAGCAAACTTTTCATGGTGATGGATATATTTATTTATTATCTTGATTCCGGTGATGA